ATCTGCAAGGTGGCCCCGCAGGCTGGGGGGTGCACGGTGCGATAACTGCCTGCACACCCAAGGCCTCTCAGCTGCAATTAAAAGAGTAACCCCTGGTCCTGACCTCCGGAAGGACTAGAGCTGTCCAGCGAGCACGCTTATCCCTGGGACCAAACTGGCTGTTCCCGTTCCTATTGTTCCCAGAACAATGGAGTCCTCATAAATTAATTCAAGGGGGGGGCGGGAAAAATCCTCCATACATTGAAATAGGAGCCCGGGCCAACAAAAGCCAGGAAGCCTGGAGCTGGTGCGCACACAGGCTCACAGACATGGAGAAAACAAGCTGAGTGGCTGGAGCGGGACAGCGGGAGCTGTAACTTATGGATTTCCTGGCTTTCTCCCACGGTCTGTGCAGAATAAACAGGACTTTGGTTCAGGAGGAACGGGGACTTTATTTAGTTTCCCTTATTTTCTCTTGAAACAAAAAAAAATGAGTCCCCCTGGATTTCTAGGCACCACCGTGCCGTGGGTGCCCCTGGAGCGTGACGCCTTGCCTCTGTCTGCAGCTGCAAGGCAGCCACTGGCAGCACCGCGCTGGCAGGCAGGAGCAGTGGCCTCTCCTGTACCTCGTGCTCCCCTCTCCTCCCCTGGCCCGAGTTCTCCAGCGCCTTCCTCTCCTCTGCTGCCCTGTGAGCACCGCAATGCTGGATCTACCCTTACTGAGAGCAGAGATCCTGGGAAACATCGCCCCACTGGCTGCCAAGATCAGTGGGAGCAAGGGGCTCCCAAATTACACCCCCCATGTTTCCCCATCACCATCAAGCCCCAGGGCTGTCCACAGGGAGAAGGGAAAGCATTCCCCTTCCAGCTTGAGCCCATTGCAGGTGCCCAGCCTAGTGCTTCCAGGGAGAAAGAGATGGCATTTGGCAAGGGTAGATGCAACGCACGTGCCCGACGCAGCCCCCTAGGCACGAGTGGAGCAGCCCTTATCCTCTCTGAAGAACATGTGCACTCGTGTCAATACCGAGCTTACCTGCCGTGTCCCTTGCTTCCCCAGCTGCCAGTCCCCATCGCCGTCTTCTTCCTGCTGTACAAGGAGAGGCTGGTGCCTTGCCTCAAGAACAGCAGCCTCCCACTGCTCTCCGCAGACGAGCTGGCGATGGAAACGCGCCCGGCTGCGAGGGACGCGCTTTCCGCTGGGTCACGGACAGCCCAGCCAGACGGAGGTGAGAGGGGCGGCTCCTGTACCTCCTTCAGAGCAGGGGGGCCAAAGATGGGGCTACCAGCGAGATCCAGGGGAAGGTGCCACGGTGAAGCCAAGCCATCCAATGGGGCGGGCAGAGCACGGGCGTGCAAGAGCCCTGTGAGCCTTGGTGGGTTTCCTTGGCATGTTCCACCCAGTCTCCAGGGCAGGGAGCCCGGGCTCAGCTGGGTCCTGGTGTCTCTTTCCAGTGGTCCAGTTCAGCCTGCAGCTCCATGGCATACGGAGTTCCTGCAGCCGGTGCCTGCTCCTGAAAGCATTGGTAGGTGGGGAGTTTTCCCCCCCAGAGCTGGCTCTTTATGCAGCACTTCAAAAGCTTCAACCTAGGTCACTGTGCTGGGCTGTCCTTGAACATGGCTGGATTCACTCTGTGGTGAAGAGCTTGTGGTCTGAAAAGAAAGGAGAGGGGATGGGAAGGGAAACAGAGGCAGAGGGAGAAGTGCCTCACTCTGGAGGACACAGCAGGTCAGTGGCAGAACTGCAGATGAGTCTCCCAGGTCAGTAGCAGAGCTGCGGATAACTTCTCTAGACTATACGCAAAAGTTTAGCCGGGTCTAAGCAACATTTCCTCTGATCCTACAGGGGTGAAAGTGTTTCCATGCATTTGCTGTTGTATGTAAACTGACCAGGAGCTGGGCCCTTATGGCCAGAGGTAAACCTGCAAAACCCTGGGACTTTGCCCCAGCTTCAGGCTCCCACAATGTGGAAGTGCCCCAATTCCTTTGGGAAAGCAGAACTTGGGGCTCCTAAGTCCCTGCTGCACTTGCTGGTGCGAGGAGGAACAAAGGGGAAGCAGATCACTAGTGGGACTAGGGGAATTTCAAAATGCTTTTAGCCCTCTGATGGTGGCAGTCGCACAAGCAAGAACATGTCTTTCCTCGCAATGAAGAGAGCAAAGAGATTGACTCCAAGGCAGAGGGAACTAGGAGCAGGGAGGGGAAGAGCGAGGAAGTACCACAGGGAGGGGGCGGGAGTCTGCACGGCCAGGCACGTGCGAACTCCAGCAAAACGCCCCAGTGTAGAGGTTGTGAGCCCAGTAACACCATGCTCATTGCAAGGGAGAGCTCAGGGCTAGAAGCAGCTATGCCCGTGGAAAGCCCAGCTCTGCTGCACGGCAGCCTCGGCTAGTAAAATCCACTGGTGAAGTGCAGACATGGCCCGTCTAAGCAGGATCCAAGCACGCGAGCACCCCTGCCCTGATCTCGGATGCTGATGGAGACTTTCACTAACGAACACGTGCTCCGAGGACAGGAAGGGGCGCCACGGTCTCATGACTCGAGGTTGCTGTTGCCCGTTTCTGCAGACGGCCATCTCCGCACCTCCGTTCTTTCCCCAGTGCCTGTTTGATATCGTCTAATCCCACAGATCGACTTCTCCAGGGCAAGGCCAGCTGCTGCTGTGTGATCGTACAAAGGGCAGTAGTGGGGCCCTGAGCTGCATTCAGAGTCTGGAGTCAGTCCTGCCATGGAAACGTGGGCCCCGTCAGCTCTGTCCTTGTGTTGTCTGCCCCGAGCCAGCGTTGAAATGCTCAGACCAGAGTTGTTGCTTGTTTGAAGAAGAGCAGACGCAGCTCCGATGGTATTTTGGGAGCCCTTTTCTGAAATGTCGGTTTTGATCCTGACTGGGCCCAAAGCACAAGCTGCTGGATGTCCCGAGAGCCCGAGCTGCTGAGACAACGGCTTGGCAAGGCCAGGATGCTTCTGAAGTGCTGTAGAAAGTCTAGCCCCGTGTGTTTGCCATGCCCTACAGAGCCCTGAGGGATCCCTTTGTTCCCTTTCATTGTCCTGGAGCAGATAACGCAACAAATGCCCTGTGTGTGCCAGAGAAGCCTGGCTGGACTGATTTCCACCTAAGCTTTCCATTGTTTTTCACCCAGGGCACAACGACTTATTTAGCTGCTGCCAAAGCAAAAACTTCCGAGGGGCTTCTTATTCCTACTTTGCCGTGCACATCACAGGGGCCCTGGTCCTCTTCATGACAGATGGGATCACGGTAAGTCCCTGAAGCAAACCTCGGTCCGTTCGTTCCACGCCGAAGCAAAGCTACCTGCTCTCTCTCCCCAGGGGCTGGGTCTCCAGTGTGTCTATGTGGCAGTGATGGCCAGGACAGCAGCAGGGTGGGCACCCAGGTAGCTTGCACACTGGTAGGCATCAAGCCATGCCAGGAGGGAGTTCAGCACAAGCTAACCCAGTGCCCGGCTGCTGAGCCTGCTTCTCATGAAGGTTTTGCAGCTGGCATCAAGCCCTGTGCTGCCACAGCTGGACTGCCAGCGGTACCAGAGCGGGCTCCTGCATGTCAGCACAACGGTGCAGCGTAAACCTGAGGGAGGAATCAACTGCAACGACCCAGCCGTATCTCAGCAGTTGCATCCCTGCCATGGCTGCTGGACCTGCCCTCTGGCAAGGCTCCCAACTCTACCTCCTGGAGGTGCCAAGCTGGGGAGTTGGCCCATGGCATGCGTCTGTGGTACGGTGGGACCGTGCATTCACTCTGGGCTCCTAAGGGCCCCTTGCCTGCCTCAGTCCATGCGGTCACTTTGGTTCCAGAGTTCTCAAGTGTGGGCGCGTGACCTGGATGCCCAACCAGATACGCTTCAAGGTGTCCCTCTCAAAGAGCAGGTGTTTAGTGCCGCTTCAAGCCTGCCCCACTTAAGGTGCCTTGGGTCCCCAGAGCAATTATGCTGCTATTAATACGTGCAGAGATCTGACCCTTCTCCTGCAAGGAGCTAGGCCTGGGAGGTGCAAAGGTGCTGTCCATTTTTTCTGCAGGGGGAATACTCTGGGTTCATATACAGCTACGCCGTGGAGGAACCTCTTTCCGTGGGACATAAGATGGCCGGCTACCTGCCCAGCCTGTTCTGGGGATTCATCACGCTTGGCAGGCTCATCTCCATCCTGGTGTCCTACAGAATGAAGCCCACAACCATGGTCTTCATAAACGTGGTAAGGCGAGCTCGACTATCACCCTTTGCATGCTTTAGATTTAGAGGGGTAAGACATCCCAAGCTGGTTCTGCCCCTAGGTTGCTGTAGGCGCAAAGAGGCTGAGAGTAGATGGCGACTCAGAAGTGTACAAACCACTGATTTGGGCTGCTTTCATGGATTTGAAAGCAAGAAAGAGCCCAACATGTTGGAATGTAGTGCAAGTGTTAAGCAAAGCAGTTGTCATCTTAATTTACTGGCATGGTAGCATACCGCAGGGGAAT